GGAAACAAGAGCAATTTTGTCTATAATGAATACCTCTGGGACGGCACACAGTAATCATTCGAATATTACACTGAAGACTGGTTTGAGGATCTAGTTTGGGCTTGTTAAGATGCCAGACTTTGTTGGACTAACTAGATTAATCAAAGTGTGGCAGCTTTATCATTTGACTGGGTCAATGGTCAAAAAGTCAAGTTGATTTTCCTCCTCACATTCCTGCCAGAAGGAACCAATCCAGAAGTAACTGCTCTAATTTATAGTTCAAATTTATGTCACAATCATGGATACTTCATGGACTAAAGAGATTTCTTTTTCCTTCCAAAATGCTCTCAAAAACTATCTTTATCACTCTTTCCTAGACCTTTTATTCTTGCCTCTTTACACTAACCTGGACAATTTTCTTATTAGGAAAATATGTAATTAAAGTATATGGAGATATTAATATGTATGCAAACATGACAACATTCTAAAGGTAGATTTAAGAGGCAAATGCACAAAAAGGAACTTGGAGAGTCTAAAAACTTATATATGCCCCTGCATATGGCAACACGATACTATCATAAGAATAATTGCCTATTACTGTTGAGTTTATTATCTTGTGCTTGGCATGATTGTCTGAGGAGGAGGGCTGTCAGAGCTCTTGTGATTGTGTCCCATCTGTGATACACACAAGAGTAGCTACTGGCCTGAACGGGTGGAGGTAGACTTGCTAGATGTCCTATAACACAGAGTGGAGAACTAACACAAGTTACTCTTGAGCGTTGTCGAGTTAGAACCAACTCATAGCTAACCCTCCAGTAGGTTTTCAGAGACAATAAATCACACTAGAGGAGGCTGCCCATCCTGCTCCCAGAGCAGCTGGTGGATTGAACCAAGTGCCTTTGAGATTGCAGCACAGCTTCTTACCACTAAGTCACCAGAGCTCCCTAGCACAAGTAGATGACTAACAAAAATAAAAAGATGCTCACAAGAGTAATACCTGTACTCATCTTTCAACAAATAATTCTCTATACTTCTGACATTTTGGACATTATTCTGAGCTCAGAATTCAGAAGAAGATAAAATCTAGAGGCCACTCACCCCTCTTAGCTCGTATCTAGTTGGAAGGACAAGCGAGTAAAGAGATGAAATTTTTGCTGTGCCATGATCCATGGAAGAACAAAGAAGCACCCAGAGCACTGACAGGGCACAGGGCAGAGGCACCAAAGGGGTGTCACCAGGGGAGACAAATGGCAGTGTTCATAATGGGTCATTCAGCAACAGGGATGAGACATGGAAATGTCAAGAGGAGAGAAGGGTCTATGACAGAAAGGTAAGATGAGTTAAAGAGAAATTATGAGCCCCTCACCTGAACTATGCAGACAGGAAAGAGTTTTGTAAATTATGGGGGGCAGGCAGGAAGTACAACTAACATCATTGGTGACTCATCAAATTTTGAGCACTGAGGAAGACTCTTGGCAAGAACTGATCTCTGGGAAACCACTTCAGGCAAGTAAGTGAAGTTTCCCCATGATCTAATTGACGTTGGTCTTATCTTCTCCTTCCCTTTATCAAATGACTACTCTTCTAGACAGCTCAGTCCTCAGTCTCTTCGTGGTGGTACCCAGACAGAGGCATGGACGTAAAAGAGCTTGAGCCAGGAGAACTGGCAGAAATATGTTGCTGTTGGGGGTAATCAGGCCAATTTAGGAGAAAAGGACAGAACAATCAAAGAGCAGGTAGGAGGATGGTCTCGAAAGTGCTAGGGCAACAGTACACATCCAAAAGTGGGCATCAAAACAAACAAAGCCCTACTGCAGAAAGCCCTGATGGGAAGAAGCAGAGCCCTACAGCCTGATGGGAAGTTTTGTAATGTTTTATTTCTGCTTCCTTTGAATGGATATTTTTATCTTGATGACAACTTGACATTAGGAGCTACAGAAAATGCTGTAAGTTAGAATTTTGGAGAAAGTGTCCCTGGGTTTTCTCAGCATGTGGACCTGAATGGCCTGGAAACACCTGGAGAAGAGTCAGAGTCCTGAGTGGGAGGCCCCACCCGTGGCCGCCATGTTGTTGCCCTGTGCTCTGATCTCGCCATTGATATCAATGGTGACAAGGGTGAGGAACTCTATGATGATGGCTGCCACCCTTCAGGACTTTCCTTTCTTTCATTAGCCCACTCACATTTTCCACAATCTCTACAGGTAGGATCTGGCAAAGTCAGGAAAAAATACAGAACAACAATGCATCGATATGACTCAAATTCCACCCACAAGAAAAAAGTGGAACAGTTTTGAAATTAAAATACTAAGTTGCCAACTCAGCTATTCTAGGAGAAGAGTCATCCATATTTCCATGAAGGGCACCAGAAAGGTGTAGAAACGTTGCATGTTTCTATTACACACTAGTCTAGCTTCTTATGGAGTGGTATATTCCCTTTCAAAGCAGCCTATCAATTACAAAATTATATGTAATAAAAAATTTTTGAGAGGTTTGTACACACTAGCCTTAGACGTAGAGAAAGCACATGGCTGACAGTGCCAAACAGCCCTTTGGGACTTTATAAAAGAGTATCATTAATTTTTACAGTGTGCTTCCATTTCTGGAGCAATTTCAGCATTGGCTTTCTACAAAAATCATCTCAAGTATAGAATGATGCTATTTGCTTGCAGCAACATCACAGGAGCAGGAGTGCACCATATGTTGCTACCTAGCAACTTCGCCTGTAAGTCCCAAAGCATGTACTGATTTGAAAATTGAACAGGAATTAGAATTGTTGAGTGATTCTATGAGGTGAATTGTCTTGGATTGCTAAACTATGCAGATGTTTGATGTTCTTTAGGAAAAGGAACAAAACTCTTTTTTCCCCTGCAGGATGACTAAGGTTTTATTTCTGGTCACCTAAAGGGGTAAATTGATTTAAAGTTCCCTAAAAGAATACCAGGTAATGAATTCTCAAATGCATTACATTCCAGTAAACAAAAAAGAATGTCAAGTGTAAAACTTACCCTAAACCATTCAATGTATTTTATTTGTGAGGCACATTTTCCTCCCAGTACATGTATTATCCTACATTAGTTTAAATTTTGAAAGAGCAAATTCTAAAAACATTTTTACATATGCAATGTTATAAAAATAGTTTTCTTTGGGATCACAAATCTGCTATATTTTCAAAAGCACGAACACTCTCTGCGCTCTTTCTCCATAAATTATTGCTAGTATTTAAGATGGTAACAACCAACTGCAGTGCCAAGAAAAAGAATGCTAGCTGTTGGATTTTAGTCAGGGTTGAATATTATGCATTGTACGTAAATTTAAAAATCTAAAGAGCAGGGCTGTTAGGATGAATATACTGTGCATTTCCAATTCTTTAACCAAAACTTTTTAAGACGGACATAATAATTCCTTGAAAGGAAGCAGCTGCTTTATAATAGCAATCACTTATTGAGTTTGTGTTTCTACTGTTTCAAACAAATTCACTTAGCTCTTACACTTCAAAACCCTACAGGCACCAACAAGATGATACCAGGCTGCTTAAATCCAATAATACTACTAAACTTGTCAGGACAGTTTTGGGATTGATGGTTAGAAGAAAATTAATAATAACATTTTTCATTTTTTAATCAAACACAACTATTCAGAACTACCTATGGATCTCAGAGGGTACCAAGCTGAACAAATTCAGTCAAGGAACAATTTCAAATGCAAAGCTTAGCCTTCCAAAGGTATTCCTGGAATAATCAACTCAGTCGAGTGGAAGAAAACGTGGGAAGGCTCTTTGGATGCCATGATAACCTTTTTGGTCAAACAATACAGTGTTGTTTCAAGAACCTCTGCCCAGAGACTTTAGGGATCAGAATGGTTTCTAAATGTAGTGTGAGTGGAAGGGCAGCCTGCCTGTTTCAAGTCAAGCAAGAGACATTTTGTTCTTAGCGAAATTTCCAAGTCCCCCGCAGTGCAGCCCTAATGTATACATTTGCATTCTTCCAATCCCAACCCTCATGAGGAAAAGAGTTTGACACTCTCCTCTCACCCCCAACCCTCAGCCATCAAATCTATCTGGGGAGACATGTAAACATTTACAACTATCACATTAGAGTTTGTGTTACAGCTGCTGATACATGGAACACCAGGATTCCAGCTCTCACTGTCCTGGAAAAAAAAACACAACCAAACATTCAGGTTTCTAAAATGCTTGTCTGAATGCTCGCTCTCACTTCATTTATTCATTTATTTATTTTTGTGTACTCAGTTCTTAGATTTTATATCGCACGGGCCCCCTGGGGCCATTCTAATGTTACTTTAAATGCCCTCTCTGGATGGAAGGGCTTGGTCTTAAGTAGCTAAAAAAAAAAAAAAATAAAAATAACCAAGCACTTGCATTTATACATGGAAGCATTTACAATTTCACTGTACTTTTGCTGTCAATTCTCGTGATTAAATACCTTGTCAGCTAGACCTGGTGAAATGGATACGAAGGTGCCCTGGAAGAGTTTCAATCACAGTGTACACAGTGACCGGAAATCTACCCCCCACCCCTACCTCATGGATTCTGGAGCAGCCAGGGTGCCCCCTCTGATGCCCCAGCTTGGGTAAATGCTCCCTGACTATGTGGTTTGGGTTGGAAAGGTAACAAAACAGCTCCAACGGTAGATAATGAAAGCTATTTGTGACATGTGTAGCTTATAATGATTAAGTCATCCACCTTCAGAGGCACAAATAACCTGCACCTGTAAAGACTTTATTTCCTAAAGGTAAAACAACTGTTTAGGAAAGATCATGCTGGCAAAACAGCTGCTCGCCGGTCTGGAGAGGAAACGAGGTAGTAGCTTTCAACAAATGCCAACTCCAGTGTTTTATCAGCACTATCTCATTAACTGGAAACAAGGCTTAAATGCTTTGTTTATAAATTATGATTATTCCTGATTGAGGCAGTTACTGATAGTGCTACTCATTTGCAATGCAACTCTTTGAATTTGTTTAATTACAATTTGAAACAAGGCAGAGAAGATTAATTAACCCACCTGGCTGGCTGGCACATAGTCCTGGCTGGGCTCTGTCATGCTCATATACATGTTCTCACCGTCAAACTGCGAATGAAATAATAGTAAACATTCAGCAATCTTGACTGTGTGTATTTTTTTTTTCAGCAGTAAACTGGAAAACAGTAGCCATAAAAAATAAATAAATAAATAAATAATCCTGTGGTTGGGAATATGGGAAATCTGTCCCAGCGAGCAAGCACCATCTTTTCTTTGATGTTTCTGTTGTCATCCTTACTGACCCAGGATGTCGGTGATTTGGAGTAATTAGTGCTCTAGTAATTACAGCAAGCAAGCAAGAAATGAATGGCTTCCTTTCATCTGCAATCTGTTTTAAAACAAAATGGCTCATTTTGCACACCATGTATGCATATTGCAGCTCGCCTGTAATGAAGTATTAAATGAGTGGCATTGTTTCTGAAAGAAAACAGGATAATGGAGAAGACACTAAAGCACAGCTCACTGGCTACAGAGTTTAGCTCTTGATAATGAAAAAGTGCAGAGTTTTCATAACAGACCCAAATTGGATTCAACACAATAGTTTTGGGATTACAAATTTCAACTGGACAGTATCTGAAAATAGCATGCTATCCCTATCGTCAAGGTTAAGGACAACCAGTGACTCACAATATGAGATGGGTGATTACATTTTCCTTTCTGAAGTTTTTCAAAGCTAAAATATTAGTGTACATATTATAAGTGTGTGGAAACTTCCATAGACACGTTTTTCAGTCAGTGGACTGAGGAGAAGGAGAAAAGGGGGAAGAGAAATTCAGGAGCAGTCCTCAAAAATACTGGGGAAAGTGACAACAAAATACTTTTCACTATTTGGGTTTTTTTGAATGCAGTAACCACTCCATTCAGACTTAACAGTCAGATATATATATAATTTTTTTTCTCTTTAGTCGGAGCTATCTTTAAATACTTGATAAATGGGCAAAACAGCCTTTCTTTCTCTTTTCTTTTTTAAGAGGAAGAATTTTCTAAGGAAATAAATAGACCAACATATCCAACCTCAAAGAGCTTGGTCTAAATATACATTCATTGACAGACTAATTTCAGATGTAGGAATGGGAAAATTTTAAAAGTCATTTTTCAAAACAGCATAGTGTTATGATAATAGTGCAGATAATAATTTGTTCATATTTCATTTACTTGTCAAAATAAAACCAAAACTAGCATTATAGCTAGTCTTCCCAAACTGCGAGGTTCTAGGTTCAGAGTCAGATCACCACAAGGCACAAACTGGGATGCTCCAGCCACTCACTGGTGCTCTGAAGATTTCCCTCAATGTCAACCGTCAAAGCACTCACCAAACATCACTAAAGGCCCAAGACACTCAGTAGGTTAAGTTCAAAGAAACAAGGCTATCCCTGCACATCACCCTTCAAAGTATTTCAGGTTATGTGAACACCTTATCTAAACAGATATGAAGTCACATATGCAGTGATGTGGCTGTGAGCACAAGTTAGTGTGAGCATAACTAGAAAAAAGTTGGAGATTTTGGTTGCTCTGTCAACTGGCTCAGGTGCCCTGCGCCAAGTGACTTACCCGGGTGACTTTTCCGTTGGGTCAGGCAGACTCCTTCTTCACCCTACAATCTAGTGGTCAGCCAACCTGCCCGAGCAACCCCTAGGCCTCACAGAGAGTCTCACTCAGCAGTTCTCCTGCTCCAGCCCCTGCATAAGTGCATGGGTTTGTTTGCAAATGTTTTTAAAGTTAAGATGCCAAGGAACCATTTAAAATATGCACAGTTTCTCTTACTTCAACAAACTAAACTGAACCGAAGTAGTGAAGTGAATCAAACATCCCTCTGCAGATGCATATTCTATAAATGTGTTACTTTCTATTTCATCTTCTCAAACTCATTTTCTAAATCTGGTGATGTTCTTGTGCCAACTAAGGCTTTGGAGTTTTGGTTTTAGTCTATCCAAAGTGCATGATAATTCAGTCTATTCAATGCTTCCTTTCTTGATAAGGACTCACCCATCAAAAAATACCAGCACAGAGCCAAAGCTTAAACAGCATTGTTACAATAGAGCAATTACTATAACTATTATGGTTATGTGGGTTACAAAATTTTTAATGTCTTTTATATCCCAGACACCTGTAGTTTTACATATGTTAACTCTTTCAGTCATCACAGTAACCAAAGCTATGAGGCATCATTATTCTGACATTATGCAAAGGAAGAAAATGCTCACAGAGAAGTTTAGCTATGTACCCACAGATACACAGCTCATAATAGGCAGAGCTGGGAGTCAAACCCAGGCAGTGTGGCCTTCCACCCCACACACTCACCCACCCGAATATATCCATCATATTTTGAAGTATGCTTATAGTTAGCTATCCATTCTCAAAATCACTTTAAGAAATTGGTAGATCTGTGACAGTATCTCAGGGACGGTGCAGTATCATCTAGAATTTGTGTAATATTGTGCTTCTCTGAGAACAAGTGTTAATTTAACAGCTGTTAATTTAATCACAGCCTAAATAATACCTCTGAGCCACTGAGGACTCAGTGGTGGCTGCTGCTGTTGGCTCCAGGATACTCTGAGTTCCTTCAATAGCTTGTTTTTGGAAGGTCCACAGTGCTGAAATGCTGGAGAAGGTATTTACTTTGTCCTGTTGCTTGCTCAGAGCACCCGAGGCCCACTTCCAGCACTCTCCATTTTGCACTCTAGTCACCCTGTCCCTGACCTTGAAGCCCTTTGTCCTGTACCTTCCTTCTCTCTCACTTGTTAAAATATTCCTTATAGTCCTCATCTCCCTTTAGCAAAGGCTCAGAGCTCTGCCTTGGGTTGTCTATTGTTGGCCCTCTGTTTCTGGCAGGGTCAGACTGTACAATTAGCAAGGTAAACACGGGCTTACTTGTGCTTCCTTACTCATGTACAGGGAACAATTTCCCACTTTCTCACCACATCAAAGATTTTTGTTTCTGTAAATGACTGGCATCTGTCTCTTTTCCAAACCCACACCTTCCTGAAGAATCAAAGCCTCTTTTAAATTTTTGGATAAAGGAAGCTCTGGCATCTACAGAGACTTATGTTGCTAACCAAAAGGCTTCAAGTCTCCAGTGGTTTGAATCCACTCTAACTCCAGTAGAGAAAAATGGTCAATCTCCTCCCTTTGTGACGTACAGCCTTGAAAACTCAGTGGGAGATCACAATGAGTTGGAATCAACCTGAAAAGCAGGGAGTTTTAGTCTTTTTGGTAATTGACTGGGACAGAGCACCTGATAAGAAGGAAAACACAGGATTCTTTGCGCTTACTAAGCTGCAAAGAAGAGCAGGGCCTCTTGGCTTCCAGGCAGCTATTTGCCTGCTTGTGGAGCTCCGATCTCTATAAGCCTTTACAAGTCTAGGGCTACCTAGATATGGAATAAGGTCTCAAGAAATACCTACTGCTGAATTATGGAAAATATACAAATCAACTACCTTCTTAGTGAAAATGGTGACTTGAGAATGGGACAAAGGTGGAACCTTTGAGGGGAACATTTGGTGCCTTCTAGAATGGGTAGATGCCAAGTCTTAAAATGGGTTAAAAGACATAGTAGAAGTCCTTAAAGAGAAGAAATGTTGAACACTAATGCTAAAGTAAACTGCTGGGCCCAGTTCTTCCTAAAGATTTTAGTTAACACAAAACATAAGCATGTAGCTAGGAATCAAGAAACCTGTAAGAAACTTCCTTACTGGAAAATTTTGAGTTGACAAACACACAGTGCTGTGTTAAGACCTGCTGAACATTTCTCCTTGCAGATTGAAGGATTTTAGTTTGATGAATTGCCGGTGCAGAAGCTGGCCAGCTGGGTGCATCAGTATGTCTGTCACAGCCATGAGATGAGTCGCAACAGGCCTCCAACTCACCCAATATTCCTTGAATGGAACTTGAAACATGAGTTTGTGGGTGTTGGTGGGTGCTATCAAGTCAAGTAAGACTCACAGCGACCCAATGAACTGATCTGAACCCTGTCTTATCCTGTGCCAACCTCATGACACACCTGAAGTCATTGCTGTAGTCACTGTGTCAATTCTTCTGGCTGAGGGTTTTCCTCTCCTTCACCATTTCTCTACCTTTTCAAGGATGATGTCCCTCTCCTAGGAATAATCTCTCCTAAAAACATGCCCAAAGGAAGTGACATGAAACTTTGTCATCTTTGCCTTCAAAGAGCATCCGAGCTGCACCTTTTGCAAAACCTGTCTGTTCTTTTGACAGTCCATTGGAGGTTTAGCACTTTTTTCCAGCACCACAGTTCAAAGACATCTATTTGTCTTTTGTCTTTCTTGTTCACTGTCCCACTCTCAGATGCATAGTAAGTGACTGAAAAGACCACGGCCTGACCAGTTTTCATCTGACATGCAAAGAAATTTAATCTTGGAAAAATCCCTGAAAGCATCATATCTGAATTCTTCATGTTATGATTGAGAATACAAACATTTTTATTGGTTGTCCAGCTTTTCTGGGAAAATAAATGAGGTTTGGCCCTTAGCAGAATAGTTTTCCACTACAACAAACTGCTTTATATTCCATTACCCATAAGAAAAGGTGGAGTTCTGCCATAAAAGGGACTGAAGTTCTAACACATGCTGGCATGAAAAAGTCTTGAAAACACTAAGCCACATGAAATAAGCCAGATATTAAAAAACACTTATCATATGATCCTACCTATATGAAATATCTAGAAAGGGCAGAGAGACAGAGAGGGAATGATGGTCACCATGGGCTGGGATGAGGAGCACAGGATAGTTCATGTCTAGTTACTATGGAGCTTCTGTTTGGACTGAGAAGAAAGCTTTGGAACCAACAGTGGTGATGACTGTATAACACCATGAATTTAACTGATTGCACTGATGTACTTAAAACTTAGCTTTTCTGAAAATGGGGACTCAAGCTGTCCATATCATTTCCACACACTCTCTCGCCTGGGAGGGCAGCATTTACTGGACACCACCCTGAGCATCCAGCTTTCCTACCTGGATGGCACACTAACAATCTCCATCAACTTGATTCCAACTCACGGTGACTCTGTAGAGTCAGAGTACAACTGC